ATGGTCACGTTTGTGCCCGTTCCCTCTTGTCCTATCACTGGGCACCACTGGAAACAGACTGTTCCCATTCCCCTGGAACCCTCCGTTTGGGTATTTATCAGCATTGATAAGATCCCCCCTCAGTCTTCTCTTCTCCAGACTGAACACCCCCAAGTCCCTCAGCCTTTCCCCATAAGAAAGATGCTCCAGTCCCCTCATCATCTCCGTAGCCCTTTGCTGGACCCTCTCCAGCAGTTCCCTGTCCTTCTTGACCTGGGGAGCCCCGAACTGGACACAGTGCTCCAGATGAGGCCTCACTGGGGCAGAGAAGAGCGGGAGGATGACCTCCTTCAACCTGCTGGCCATGCTCCCACCCCCGGAGACCATTGGCCTTCTTGGCCACCAGGGCACATTGCTGACTCATGGGCATCCTGTTGGCCACCAGGAGTCCCAGGTCCCTCTCTTTCTCTTTGCTTTAGCCGCGTTTTCAAATACCTCTTTGTGTCTGAGTCAAAACGACGCAGAGAGGTTATTTTAGGTGATAAAACTGTGGGGAGGAGTGTGCTGTGTCCAAAAATGGAAAAGACTTTTTTAAGAGAAGAAAGGCATTTCTGTCCTGCGGTCGGAGAGCGATGCCGGGTGGCTCTGCCCACGCCAGGCTGGGCGTGCTGGCCAGCCCCGTGCCGGCTGCCAGAGAACCGGGGTGGAGAAGTGGCTTCAGCAGAGTGTGAACACGGCTATTGCTCTGCGCCAGAGCTGGTCGAGAGGGAAGTTTCTGTTCGACCTTTTAGACTACAGAGGCAAAACCTTTTTGGCGGTAGAGATGGGGATGTAGCGATTACCTCTGTCTACAAACAACCTGGAGAAGTGCAGGCGTCCGTGCTGTTGTCCCGTGGCCGGGGGTGGGAGTGAGTGTTGCATTACATGGTACATCCCTTTGGGAGACACCAGACGGGCAGCTGGTGCTCTCCCGTTCAATTTCTGTGTTACGCTTTCACCCAACCGTCGAGCAGGTCATGGAAAGGGGCTGCGACCTGGGGGGGCTGCAGTGCCTCGGACCTGTTAGGTCCCGTTTTCCTTGAGGGTGGACGGAGGTGGTGGTGCTGCTGCTCTCACCTTGTAACTCAGGAGGAATCCTGCGGCCAGGAGAGCCTCCACCAGAGGCTGAGACGTGGGGTCTGCAGCATAAGATGTTCCCACTCAGGAGAGTGTCTTTGGACTGTGTACTCTTGGCTGGACCTTGGGAGAGGGGCTCAGCCAAGGCCCTTTTCCAGCATAATCCTGACCCTTTCCAAAGGTTTCCGGGCTGTGTGGGAGCTCCTTGGCCACCTGTCCCCCATCGCTGAGCTCCCGGTCCCTGTCCCCAGTGCAAAGGTGGGCAGCAGAAACCACGTCAGCCCTTTGCCCTGTGTTTCCTACTGGGCTTCCCGAGGGCTTTCCTGCCCTGAGCATCACACGGTCCGGCCCTAGGGCAAGACTCCACATTTTTTCAGCTATAACTAATTAAGAGACATTAATTACCTGTTCATTTAGTGTGAGTGGAAAGTAGCTATTACTCTCAGCTTGGGTGACATAATTGCATTGTAGCCTTCACTGATTTCTTGCTAAAACTCAGAGTCTTTTTGTCCTCCTGGGAGTGCCCTCTGTGCCTGTTTCAGAGTAGGAACTTGGTTTTTTTGGTTGTATATTTTTTTCTCATACTAGATTTACAGCAAGGTCATTAAAAATTAATGTTTGTACAGTTATGCATAGAAAGTGCCAGTGCCTGCTGGTAGCACCAGCGGTTGCCGCGGAGCTTCTTATTGTGTTTTCCGTGCTTAATGCTTATCTGCTTGTGAGGATGTATAGCGAGCCCTTGGAAAGCCCAGACTGTTTTGTTTATCGATGAATACCTGGCTCCAGGGGTTTGCCTTCTGAAGGCTGCCAGAATTGTTCATATTCTCCTCCCAGTTCCTTCATCTGAAGGCCAAATGCCACAAAACCCCAGTGCTGCCCAGGAATTAAATGCTGCCGGCTGACGTATGCATTTGCCTTCGTTAATACCGCCTTCTCCTTTCCCGCAGGCCTTGCCTTATGTGTGTCTCCTCATTGCAATGCTCTTCTTCATCTACGCCATTATCGGCATGCAGGTAACATTTTAGCTTCAATACTGACTGTACGTAGCCTGGTTTCGTCCTGCCGGTTCAGGGTGCAAAGGTTTTATTGCCTGCGCAGCAGCACCAACGCTGGAGTTGGGCTGAGGCCAAAGTCCGGTAAATTAGGAGAGAAAAAAAAAAAAAACCAAACACAAAAAACCCCCACCACTTTTTCTACCCTTATTGCCAGGTCTTGTGTTGGGCGTACAGCTATCTCTGGGGGTACAGAGGGCTCCCGCGGGCAGGGGAACCGGCGGGGGGTGAGGACCACGCGGCACAGCATCAGCGATGGGGGCGGTGGGCAGCCCTGGCTCCCGCAGGCAGGACGCGTCCCTCCCTCCGAGTACGGGCATGGCAATAGCCGGAGAGCGGGGAGCAGCTCGGGCACTGCTCCTGTCTGCAAAGAAACGAGAGAGTTTTTGTGGCCTGGGATGGAGCTGAGCTGTGGCATTGGGAAGGGTCTGTGTGAAGACGAAGCATGTTAAACTGACTTTTTTCCCCATTCGATCTCCACAGCACATTTTTATCTCCCTCTTTAACACAGAAATTATTGTAGCTTTTGAGATCCCCTCAACCAGGACAAATTCTTCTCCCGCCTTTTCTCCCAACTCCATTTGATCTACCTTTACTGACAACGTCCACGCGAGGACGTGTTTGCCCTGAACCTTCCCTGGCAGGTATTTGGAAACATTGCTCTAGATGATGAAACCTCCATTAATCGGCACAATAACTTCCGTACCTTCCTCCAAGCCCTGATGCTTCTCTTCAGGTAAGCAGAGTACAACATACCGTAAGACTTGCATGCGAGCAATAAGTAAATCCTTGTTTTCCCCTGCGCCAGCCTTAGGCATCCTCTGAGGAAGGTATTTGGAGCGAAGCATCCGTTCCTGCTGCCTCCTCCGCGGCATGAAGGGTTGGCCTGGCACATCTCCGAATGTGACAGATCTGATTCAACACGCAAAGTGACACCCAGCGCTGTCACACCCCACGTCAGCTCAGGCAGAAGCTTAATATAAGACAGAAACCCCCTGGTTGAACTGATCGATGTGGTTCCTGTCGTGAAGCTGACTGTTTTTATATTGTTTTTCTTTTTTTAAGTGAGAATTCCTTTAATTGGTCATTTTTGCACTACCAACACATTATCACTTCATACGTCAATGCCACCTCTGCTTCAGAGTGAGAGTGTTTCCATCTGGGTTCACTCTGCCTGGAAACGAAGCATTTTCAAATGAAAAAAAAAAACCCAACAAAACCACAAAAAATCAATGAAATGACAGATTTTCATTTTCAGACCCAGCAAAAAGTGCTCCAAACCGGGGCGGCTTTGGGGACGATGTCACTCCTCCGGCTGTGCGGAGGGCGGTGCGGAGGCACAGCCGTTAATGACCGCTGTGGCCCCAGGAGCGCCGGCCGGCCGTCCCCGGGCTCGGGGCCACCGCTTATGCGGCGCTTGTAACTGGATATCTTGCTGGGGATTCGGTTTCGCATAGTTTCTGTGAAGCCAGGCGGAAATGAAATTAGCCCTCCTTAGCTCAGAACAATCCCTCGACTCAAAACTCTGAATTTTAATAAAACGGGATAATTATTCAGTCTCGCGCCCAGAGCTCTTGGGGAGAGAGCGGGCAGAGGCAGCAGGACGGCGATGGGGAGCGGGGTTCTGCTCAAGGGAACGGGGCTTCAGGGCTCGATGCGGCGGGGGGGAAGCTGCTGGATAATCCAGAGTAGCCTGGAGTTTACGTGGAGTCCCAAGTTTTCTCGAAGACCAGGAGGAAGGCTCGTGAGGCTCTGGGTACAAACCGGACGGTTGGGACCAGTCCTGCAGCAGGATGGGCCGGTCATGGCAGGACGGCCCTAAAAGCACCTCCGAGTGTGGTGCAGAAGTTAAGGGGGGAAAACCTGAAGTGTCACATAGGAAGTCATGTAAGCAAACACGGGGGTCCCCCAGTTCCCGATCCGTGCGCATTGCAGGGGGTGGTCTATTTCGAGGATAGACCCTCTGGGAATGAAAAGTTTTGCCTTTTGGTTCTTTTTCTCCTTATAATAGCGGTGGAAGTTAGGGTTTGTTTTGAGTACACCTTCCTGCTACTCCAGTCCTCACACCTAAAATGAGCCGAGGGAGGGAAATGGTGAAGAAAGAGACTGTCATGACAACCAGACCCAAGTCGCTGTGACCAACCAGACCGTCCTGGTATTTCTACATCTACCTGATAGGGGAAACGAGAGATTCCAGTGGAGAAGTCTGGCTTTGCCTCCCATCACCTCTGTCAGCCTTGCGGCCAGAGCTGGGACAGAAAGAAAACAATCTAAACTCCATTTCCATACATTTGCACTTGACATGTTCAAATCAATTTGGTTTTATTCTCCGCAAAACCAAAGCAGCAGATTGTGTGTGTCGTCCCCCCCCGTCCCCCCCATGCCTGCTTGCTTTCTCTTTCCCCTGCGATCGAGGAGATGTTCTTTCTCCTTTTTCACATCAGCAGTTCAGATTCCCAATATAAATACAGTCTCTCCACCTGGACACAACCTTCAACCTGCTTAATTTAGTTAACTGGGCGCAGTAATCCCGCAAGGGGGGTGTCCCCGCGGGTCTGTAGCGGGGAGGGGTTGGACAAGGTCACCCTCTGCCCTCCCCGTCCGCAGGAGCGCCACGGGGGAAGCCTGGCACGAGATCATGCTGTCCTGCCTGAGCAACAGAGCCTGCGACCCGCTCTCCGGCCTCACCAAAAACGAATGCGGCAGCGATTTTGCCTATTTCTACTTCGTGTCGTTCATCTTCCTCTGCTCCTTCCTGGTAAGTCAGTCCTGACCTCTCCCAAAGTGGAGGTGCCGGTGTGGTACCCCCCTTCCACCTCCTTCTCCCTAATTATGATTTATACAACACTGCAAGACAGCTTCACCAAAACCCATTTATCGTCCTGGTGATAAAATCCCTGTAATCCCCAAAGAGATGATTTAGTCGTTAGTTTAAAGGCAAGGGGTTTATCTTTCTTCTCACAGGGGGGTCTAATATTTGGAATTAAACGTTAATCTGTTTTGTCGTGATTTGTAACACGGTCCTTTGAAGGAGGGGATCGGGGAGGGCAGGGTGAGGGTGGCCAAGATGACATTGGTTGGGAAGTGCTTGCAGCTGGGAGCATCGCACTTGTTTGATGCCTCGTCTTTTGGTTTGTTTGTCAAATAAGTGCAATGATCATTTTCTTCCGCGGTGGTGCCGGGAAAGCTTTAGACATGAAAGTACAAAGAGCTGTTGGACTTGACCCGCGCCCGTGGCCGTTGTACGGGGTTGGGTCTAAGCGTTAATAGGTGCCGGTGTCTTTCATGACACTTGCCACTTCATGGCTTGCTTGCATGAAAAGTTCTCTGCTCTCGGGGCTCGGTTCACTTTCCTGCACCACTGGGACAGAGGAATGGAAAACCAGGGACAGGGACCCAATTAAACTTGAAACAGGAAGAGATGAAAGTCACGGCTCTAAATCGTACCAAAAAGCACTGTGTCAAACCTGCATTTGTTTCCGTGGGTTCGCTTTAAAATACAGGATTTGATGCTTTGTGCAGCTCATCCCTGCTATCATCAGAAACCTGTGACCGGGAAAAAGAGGTCCACGTGGCAGTTTGATGCTGGGTATAGATCGACCAACTTCAGTGGCCCCTACTGCGATCCTTTGTCCGACCGCTGTCGCCCCTTTGACATCCCGTGGTTTATTTCTTCTGCGTATATTAAAAAATGCGGAGCCCTGAAAGCTTGTGCAAAGTTAATGCTCCATTTACCGATTCCTTCGGCACGCTGTATTTTAAAGCCAAATTTTTTGCCTTGCACAAATCCCTAACCCAGCATCAGCCCTTCTCATTGTAATTTTAAAGCGCGTTATTGTTCCTAAAGCTTTTTCTTTAAAAAAAAAAACACAACAAACACACCCCCCACCCCCCCGACTCACTCTCCCTGGCCCGTGTCAGCCGTCTCACTTCAAATGCAGTAGGACAATTGGAGGCTGGAGCCCATGTGGGCTAAATACAGATTTTCCT